CAACAATTTATAATCCTAATCTTTCTTTATCAAGTTCACACTAAATAGTGGCAAGCTAGGGTTGAACAAGGTAATGCACAATCAAAGTGGAATTAAGAATCTATTCCAAGTAACAAGGGGTATTTTGATTTTTTTGTGATTTTCAATGATCAAATTAACTACTACAAATGATAAAAGCAAGCAAATTAAGAAATTCAAACTAGAAACACTAAAATAAGGATGGAAAACTAGATTTGAGATAAATATGATCAAAACACTAGGGAGAGGGGGTTCCAATCATGATCAACTAAGACAACAATGATAATCAACATGGATTCATGCCAAGGAATACAAATTCTACTCAATTAATTCATTCCCATGCAATTACTCAAGCAAATTGATGAAATAGATCAAAACTAAACTAGATCATTCCCATGCATCAAATTTAGAAATCAAATATTGGAATTAAAGGTGCACATCAATAACTCCAAGCAATTTAAGCACAAAATCATCAACTGAAGGCTAAATCCAATCAACCATCAATATAATCCCAATCAATCATGATCTTCACCCCCTTCCCTAGCTAGAAATCTAAGCTAGAGAAGAGAAAATAGTCATCACAACTACACTAAGCATGGATTCAATCTTAGCAAAGCTAAACATGATTCAAATTCAAAAGGTAAAGCAATCAATCAAGTAAAATCAAGGAAATAGATGGAAATCAACACTATCAAAAGCAATTAAACCAAACAAAAGGGAGAGAGTAAAGAGATTACTACTATGAAGCATGATTAATGAAGAAAACATGAAATAGTTGCATTGAATTAAAGAAAACTTAAAGAAATCTTGTTTACAAAAATAAAAATTGAAGATTAAGCAACTTTCTCTCTCTAAAATACTAGAGTTTCTCTTATTACAAAGTTCTAAATATTATTGGAAAAAACATAGGATCCTAATAAAATTCAAGAAACACTGCAAGAAAACAGTTGAATTCCGACGGACCTTTTCCGTCGAAAACAGGGGAAAATCCGTCGGAAAACGGCCTTCCGACGGAATTCCGTCGGAAACTGTCTCTCGGAACAGCCCTTGTCGGAAATTCGATGTTTTCCGAGGGAAATTCCATCGGAAGCCGCTTTTCCGACGGAATTTCTGACGGAATACATTCTGTCGAAGCTGGTTTTGACTTTAACCGAAAGTCCATCGCAAAGTTCTGACGAAATTTTCCGTCAGAGCTGAAGTGGATTCCGACGGAATATTCCATCAGGAGGGGAATATTCCGATGAAAATTTCCGTCGGAAACGGTATATTCCGACGGAAATTTCCGTCGGAAACGGTATATTCCGACGGAAATTTCCGTCGGAAAATTCAATAAAAAAAAATTAACAAAAAAGCGTTGCCCCCTACCACCAGCCCACACCACCCACTTTCCCCACCCAGATCCACCCCGCCACCAGCCCACACCACCCACCACCCATTTTCCCACACCCAGATACCTAACCCCACCCAGACACCCCACCCCACCCAGACCCAGGCCCACCAAACCAGACCCATACCCATCTCCCCACCCAAACACCCCTCCTAGACACCCCACCCCACCCAAAACCCCCACCCCACCCACACCCTAGGAACCCTACACCAACCAGATCCCCTTCCAAACTTCCCACATCCACCAGTCCCAACCTCCCCTACGCCAACCACCCACCCTGTCTAGCCACCACCAACAGCCCAACCCAAATAAAAAAAAATAATTCGAAAAAATGAAATCGATTCATACAAATCGAAAAAATACAAATCGATTCGAAAAAATGAAATCGAAAAATACAAATAAAAAAAATACAAATTGAGATCCGAAAAAAATACAAATAAAAAAATGAAATCAAATAAAACAACTATTTATATATTTAAATTATCTTCTGAAATTAGTAAAGATCCGGAAAAAAAATTAAAAAAAAACCTAGATCTTGATGTCGGTCGTTGATGCTGGTTGTCGTTGATGTTGGTCGTTGCTGTGGGTGTTGGTGCCGTTGCTGTGGGTGTTCGCCGTTGCTGTGGGTGTTGGTGTCGTTGATGTTGTTGCGCCGTTGTTGATGTCGCCGTTGTTGATGCTGTTGAGAAGGGAAAGAGAAGGAAGGAATGAAGGAGATAAGGAGAGAGAAAGAAAAAGGGGATGTTACCGGAAAGAGAAGGAGATAAGGAGAAGTGAGAAGGAGCAGAGGAGTTCTCAGAGAGAAGAAGAAAATGGCAGAGGAAAGAGGAAAGAGGAGAGGAGAGAGAAAGAGGAGGAAAATAGGGTTTGGGGTCCGGGTTTTTTTTTTTTTTTTTTTTTTTATACTCAGTTTTTTGGTTTTTTTTTTTTTAAATCATAATTCCGTCGGAAATAAATAAAATCCGTCGGAAATTTACTTTTCCGACGGAATATTCCGTTGGAAATTTCCGACGGATTTTATTTCCGTCGAAACATTAAATTTCCGACGGAATATTCCGTCGAAATACCTATATAATCCGACGGATTTTTAGTCCGTAGGAAATTTCCGACGGAATATAAATCCGTCGGAATATATAGGATTTCCGACGGAATTTTGTATCCGTCGGAAGATGTCCATCGGAATCTACCCTTTTTCTTGTAGTGAAAAAGTCTATTTATAGTGCATAAAAAATTCCGAAATAACGAACTAAGGAGAGCCCACTCGAGCAAGGCCGCGCCCTCTCCAAGCTGGGTACAGAGCAAAACCCAAGAGGTCGCGCCCGCGTCATGAAGTGCCCCGCCCACGATGGTTGGTGGAAAGGCCTCTCTCAGCCGGGGAGAGGCCGAGGCTGAGGAGTAGGGGAAATCAGGGCCTCGAAATGCCGCGCCCGCGGGTGACTGGGGAGAGCCCTCTCCAAGGTCGCGGCTAGCCTTCTACAGTTTCAAAGGTTGAGTTTCAACTCAGCCTGTCCGCGCCCGCGGCCTGTACACCCACGTCCACGGCTCCCTACAGAGCTGCGCGCCCTCTCTCTTGAGCATTTCCTGCTCTTCCTTAGCCAAATTTGCTCCTTTAACTCCATCCAAGAGTGCCAAAAACCTTCAAAATCAACAAAGAAAAGATATAAATTAAAACAAAAGAAAAGATAAAAGAAGAGGAAAATCACGAGAAAGAACAAAAATAACCAAAATCAGGGTAAAAACGGCTAGAGAAGGCGTAAACAAGTGAAAAATGGGGAAAAATCGTTAATAAAATGTGCTAAATAGTGGCATAATGCCACTTATCAAAATCCCCACACTTTTCTCTTGCTTGTCATCAAGAAATGCTAAGTGAAAAGAGAAAAAGCAAACACTACAAAGACTAACACAACATGGCAAGGCGTAGGAAAACCAATCAAGTTTTAGGGTTAAAAATGCTCCATTCGGACTCAAAAGAAAAAAAAATCTAGCGCCAAAGAATACTCATCTTTCTCAATTAAACGAGGGAAAACACGTTCTAAGATGCTTATGGTTGAAAGAGACAAACCTAAGCTAGGCATAGAGAACTAAAGATTTCATTCTACGCCCAAGCCCCAATCAAGCGGTCCACGTGCACTAGTTTCAAATCCACCCTTAGGCTAGTTTCTCATGATTCCTCGAAGGAACCGGAAAAAGATAAAGAAATGTAAAACTTTGAGGAGGTAATCTCGATGCCTTAGCCATGCACACTCTATCCATAGGGTTGAAAACTATCTCCCTCCACCGATGTTGACTCAACCCTTAAGGGTCTAAGGTTCTTTTATAGGTTGTAACGTAAGGCTAGGGGTCAAGGCTTGGCAAAAATTTGAAAATTTTGGTGATATTTCCTAAGTGAGGCAAAAGGGTGATCAAACCTCAAAAAAAAAAAAAACTCAAGAAGTCACCAAACATCAAGCAAAAATACAAATAATTCCATCTCCCCCAAGCTTATTCAACACCAACACACAAAATATATACAAAAATGAAGAAACGCTCCCCCCAAGCTTGAACGAAGCATTTTCCTCAATGCTTAAAATATGGAAGAAAACGAAACCAACTAAAGTATTTTTGTTGTATTTTTTTATTTTTCTATTTATTTTTTATTTTTTTTTATTTTAGCTCTTATTTGGTGTCCTTGCCTTTTTTAACTATGGACGAATTTTTCTTGAATGCATGCCTTATTACACACAATATATACAATTTACTTTGTTGCTTGGTCCAAAAAGCATATTACTTTCTCATTTTCAATACAACCATCACAAAACAAAACAAACTCTCAAACCAAAATGCTTCACGAAACTAAGGGTTAAGGGAAACAAAAGGTCATAAGGCTTGTAATGTGGCTGATAATCAAGAAAGGGAATAGGATTAGGGGGTTAGCAAGAGGAGCAAATGCAAAATAAAGATAAAAATTGTAGCAAAACAAAAAGAAGATAAAGAAAATGAACAATGCCCTTGTCCTCCCCTAGAGTGGCTCGGTCACGGTCTTAGGAAGCTAGAGGTCAAACCAAGGATTAAGACATGCATCGCTAAAGATCCTAAATTTCCGCTCAACAAGGTGGTGAAGGCTAGAACAATGTAACCTCACTAGAGATTATAATAGGCAAATACCAACAAAGGGTTTCAAATCCTCTAGCTTGACCCTTCACCTCTTTCAAGGTGGATCGAAGGATACCACCTTCTTAAACTTAGAGGTGAAAGTAGTATGCATGTCCCCAAGATTGGGCAAGAATACATCTTGAAACATCTCTCCATCAAAAGGGATGAATGGAGGCATTTTAGGGACCCAAACTTTCTTAACTTTCTTATTCATCTATTTATTGTTGTTGTTTCTTTTCTTTTTCTTTCTCTTTTGCAAACACCTTTGAGAAGAACCACTTCTTTCATTCTCGATCTTGGGAGGGCCGACCTCACCCTCCTCAAGAGAGTCTTCAAACAAGGAAAAGGTTCCTACCAAATGATCCTCATTCATCATAGATACTTTGGGCACCTCCTTTGATTTCTTGAAATGGAGCATAGGAATCCCTTTCAATCCCATCTCTCTTTTCTCAAGATCTTCCTCTTAAGGGGAACCTACCAAATCCACTCTACAAATATTCTCCACCATGGGATTCTTAAATACCTTGGAAAATTCAAATATTATCTTTTCATCAGCAACTTCACAAGTGATAGTGTTGTTCTTGCAATTGATCACCGCTCCTAAGGTCTTAAAAGCCTCACGACCCAAGGTTAAAGGTGTCTTGTCATCTTCCTCCATGTCCTTGAGAACAAAATCACAAGGAATATAGATATGTCCTACATGAATAGGAACATCCTCAAGCTCCCTACATGGCAACTTTACCGATCGATCGCCAAGTTGAATTATCTTTCTTGTAGGGATCATTTTAATGTTAAGTTGTCGAGCAATGGACAATAGGATCAAACTGACACTAGCCCCAAGTTCGCCTAAGGCACCCTTAGCTTCCAAATTCCCAATCTTAACCGGCAAAGTAAAGCACCCGGAATCTTGTTGCTTCTTAGGCATCTTATGTTGCACTAGAGCAATAACTTGAAAAGGAAGAGTGACGATATCATCATTAATCTTCTTTTTGTTGGAAAGAATTTCCTTGAGAAAGTTTTCATAAGAAGGCATTTGTGTGATTTCCTCAAGGAAGGGAATATTGATATGTAGACCCTTTCATCACCCTTAGAAACTTAACAAACTTCCTTTCCGCTAACCTATCGGGAAAGGGGACCAGTCCATCAAGATTCCTCGCATCACTAGGGGGTGACGGTGTCTTCTTCTCGTTAAGCTTGTTTTTCTCAATGCCCTTTCCCATATCAAGAATTCCATCCTTAATCACCTCATCTTCACTTCTCTTCTCGTCACTAACCTTCTTCTTTGGATCATCATAGGTGGTTCCCGACCTTAAGGTTATAACTTTGCAAGACTCGATTTTGTAGGTATGTGAGGGGTTAGGGTTTGGTTTACCAAGAAGTTTAGATGGTGAATTAAACGAAGACCTTTCGGCCAATTGAGAGTCCACCATTTTATTATGGGCTCTCACTTCTTGTATTTGTTGGTTTTGGTTTTGGATTAGTTGGCCAAAATCTTGAAGTTGTTGGCTCATAGTTTGAAGGATTTGGGTTTGGGATTTGTTGCGGGGTTTGGTCATGGTGTTTTTGAAGGAATTGGTTTTGGTTTTGCATTAGATAGTTTCCTCCTTGGTTTTGGTTTTGGTTGTAGAGTGGAGGTTGGTTTTGGAATTGGGGGTTTAAAGGTGGTTGATTTGGTTGGTTCCATTGTTGGGGTTGAGGTGAAAAACCGAGGGGTGGTTTCCTCCAAGCAACTCCAACTCCATTGCTCACAAAACCATCTTGCCTTGAGTTTAAGGCGGCAACATGCTCGGGGTTCAAACCTCCATAATAAGATGTATCATGGTTTGTACCACCACAATTTTGACAAGAGAAAGCATTGACTTGTGAGGAGCTTGAGCCAACAATTCCAAGAGAGCCCAACTTGGCTACACCTTTGCTCAAAAGCTCCACTTGATGTTGAAGTCGATCAAGCTTCTCCAACTCATCCTTTCACCCCTTCTCAAGAGTAGTCCTTCTTCTATTTCCCAATGAATAATTCTTGGTCACCTCCTCAATTGTTGCTTCAACTTGGTTTTGGGGAATCTTGATTAATTTACCACCTACCCACGCATCCAAGTTTGCTCTAGACATAGGTTCCAACCCATCATAAAAGAAACGCATAAGCAAGCTTTGATTGTATTCATGGTGAGGAGATGCTTGAACCAATTCTTTGAACCTTTCCCATGCTTCACTAAGGGTCTTATCCACTTCTTGTTCAAATGATGTAATCTTCCTTCTCATTTCGGCGATCTTTTCCTCGGAAATGAACCTCTACAAGAATGTCTTGGCTATCTCTCTCCATGTTGTGAGAGAATTTGGCTTGACTTACTTGAGCCACTTCTTTGCTCTACCCAAAAGAGCCAAAGTATCATCGTTATTAATAGGTTGTCTCCACTCACAAAGCCTGCAAAATCAGTCACTTTTTGGTTTTGGTTACCCAATATATATTGGGTTCCATCTTGTTAGTAATAACCATCAATAATCCATAACTAAAACAACTACGGTTAAACCAACTATCTTTACTAACAATATACATCATGTGTCTACATAATAAATATTCAGAATAATAAAGACACATGATAAGATCATTCTTTGGCAAATATTCAAAATAAACATTCATTACCTTGCCCAAATAATTAAGTTCCCATTTAGGGGTAATCTAGGTTCCAAGAGACCAAATATGCATAATTCTACACAATAAGTTCCTTGAACTATTTCTAGTAAACTGATTCTTTAATAATAAATCAATTTTATAAATCTGAAAAATGCTTTTTAAATACACTCCAAATTAGATTTGAGGTTACACAAAAATTATTTAAGAACATTAACAATAAAATCAACGGTTTAACTAGAAATACTGCAGGGAACTCGCACACATAATAACATGCATATAATAAAGAATCCAAAGATGAGACTCTTACCTCCAAGATATTAATCTTTGAATTACTTCTGCTTTACAAGCAGCTTTTTATCTTCACGTGGTGTTGGGAACGTTCTAGGGTTGAGTTCAATTCGCTGTATTCCTTGTAGATATCCATGCTAGCCCGAAACTTGATCCTCGGGGTTGCCCAGTTTATCAAGAACACTGGCTCTGATACTAATTGTTATTCGTATGATATACTACAAGAGGGGGGTGAATTGTAGTATGTTCCTACTTCCTGATTTTCGCGGGATATAAAACTAATTGATGTTTGGAACTTAGACAATGCAAAGAATATTTTACGAGGAAACCATCCAGGGCCTAACTAGAAGTAAAACCTCGACCCTCTAAGGGATTTCAAAACCAAACACTTCACTATAATAGGCCAAACACTCCTAGTTACAAATTTTTACAATCAGACCTTTCTCAGAAGTTCCTAACTGAACTTGCTACTCGATAGGAGCCTATCCTACCCAACCTAAGTCATGGACTTAGATTCCAAACCGCACTCCCAGAGTGCCACTCACTCGGCTTCTCACCAGAAGCTCACTCAGCTTCGCACTAGAAGCTCACACTTTGCACACTTACGATTAGGATAACGAGAATCCTACGAACTCTCACACCCAATACATAAAACGCTCAAAACACTTTTCCCATTACATGATCTCAAAGAATAACAATAAATACATATAAATGAATAAAGAGATAAAACTAATATGCTGGACGCTCGAGATCTGTCTGGAACTGACTTGACGAACTAAAACCAAACCCTGACCAGGAGGATTGACTTAGCTTCGTGGTGAAGGATGATACATTAAGCACAATCACTGTACTTCGTCAGCCTCAACTTTGAATGAATACATATGAGCATGTTTATAGTACAACCAAATAAAAGATAGGTTTTATCAAAAGATATGTTTAAAAGATATTTTCTAAAAATAAGTTTTCCAAAAAGATATCTTTTTGTTAAGAATAGATTATGTCAATAATAAAAAGATATACTTACCATAAGATAAGATTTTATTTAACACTTATATTTTGGTAAATAATTTTTAAATAAACTTATCTTTTTCAAAAAGAGATTTATTTGAAAATAAATATCTTTATTCAGTAAAAGAAAATCCCTAAATGATACGTATTAGGTAAATAAATATATCATTAAAACCAACTTTCAAAGACGCGCAGACTTAAGTTCCTATTAGGTTCCAAAACTCTAACAGTCTCTGAGTTCCTGACAGGTCAGTAACTCTAATTTTCATTGAATGTCAGGAGTTAACCGTGGTTTTATAGACTTGTTCCAAACTGACTTTTATGTCCAACATACTTACATGAATCTTAGAGTATATACTTCAATTTCTTCGTTTTCATGTTTGTTCTCTGAAACTCCTTTTCTGGAATCTTGTACCCTTGATGTATTCTAGTTCTTGGGGCAGCGTTCCACTTCTGGAACCGCAGGCCAGGAACTTGTTGTCACTCTTGTTCGTTCCTTATTAGAACTCGTAGACCAAGTTCATTTCTAGAACTTGCTATCACTCTTCCTTATTATTCCTTGCTAGAACTCGCAGGCCAAGTTCCTCTCTAGAACTTGCTGCTACTTGCACTCCTATTAGGGAGATATCCGTCGTGTATCTATTAGGGAACACCACATGAAATGGTTACGGATAATGATTCGGCTCTCAAGGGAAAGCCTACTGAAAGTTCCTTCTAGATCTTGTTGGAGAATACCTTCAGGTTCCTTTGTGGTTTGGTTCTGGTGGGAGAACATGCTTTAGGTTCATTCATTCTCTCTTGTTCCTCCTGAAGTCTTCTATGTTCCAACCCATTCACTTCACCTAAGTCAATTCATGTCTTCACATAAACTCTTAAGTGAACATTATATTGAAGTTTGTTTATCACAAACAAACTTCAAGTGAGAGAACTAATTTAACTTAAAGCCGCGTATATACTCCTACAAATACACAACTCATGTATACACAAGATATATACTTACCTCATGAAGCTAACATATGAAAACACCTATTTACATTGTTACCTTCATGGTTCCTTCGCCATCATAATGCTTATCAACCATAACTCATCATTGTTCTTATTCCTTCTATTGCTTATCATACATTGCTGAAGTTCCTTATATATATACTTGTCATTGCTCAGGTTCCTTAGATCTTGATCTAAACATAACTTGTTCTTTCCATGCACAACTTAACAAACATGTTGGATAGATAATCATCATCAGTTTACAATCATCAAAATCTAATTAATCAACAAAGGCGCCCTTGCCGCCTGTCCCTAAGAAAGGTCCTCAATAAAGGGGGTGAAAAAGAGATAATTCCAAATAGTTATATCCCCAGATATGAGTGGCTTGCAGACCGCACCTTTTTGGCTTCCTGTGGCCTTATTAGCTGAAGAGAGGTAGTTGGTCGGATGTCTTAATTGCATGAGCCAATTTGTCTAATTGTTGTTTGTTTTGTTGTTGTTATTTTTAATTTATTTGCTTGCTTACATTCGGCTATTTTTGCAGACGAAGTAATAGAGAGACTCTCTAAGAACAAGACACCTTCTAGCTCTACGACAGGCTAGCCCTTGATTATCAAGCAGAAGGCCCTAGCCTTCAAAAGAGACCAACTGGAGCATGTAAGTTTCCTAGTCTTAAGAATGTTTTAATGTTTAAGCGGCAATTACTACCTAACACTAACGAGTTTCAATTTTTTCTTTGTAGGAGGGGCAGAATAAGCCACATGTGCCACGTCAGTTAGCTCAGAAGTAGCAGCAGAAGTGTTCGACAGCTGATGACCGGACGCCTGCCAATTCCAAGAAGAATGTGTCCATACAGACGCCTTTATCTGCCAAATCGGCGGATGTGTTAGACCATTCCTCTACTGGAGGAAAATCTCTCGCCACCCTCGGATCATTAAAGAAGCCGGACATCGAAGAGTGGCCTGCCACTTGTTGCTGCTACCGGCTCAGAAGCAGTTAGACATCTTAATAGGTGTTCGAAAGAACGGGAGATAGCTGCCCCACAATGTATCATTGTCGGCTCGCCTTTGCCTTACCCTTGTAGGGTCAAGTCACTGCACCGGTCATCCGGCTCCTCCGAG